AATAATATATAAATTTAATCCTCGTAATTGTCGTTCATATATGTAATTATTTATAAGTTTTTGTATAGCTAATCTATAGTGTATTTTTTCTAACTTGGCAAAAGAACACAGAAAATATGGGCGACTCTATACCATAGAGAACTATAGAAGTGAAAACTAGGGTGAAGTTGTTGCTACAGATGACACGGGAATAAAGAAACATAGATTATACATGAACCATACAACTTTATTTTTTTATACGACAAAACATACCTGTCCGATGTGTCAGTAGTCTTACGCACTGAACATAACAGTCATATACAAAGTTTTTCTTTGTCAAACTATAAGCAATCTCAACACCGACAATGATATGACAGATGTTTTGGGATGATTAATGTTATTTACCAACCACACAACATTATCTTGCTCTAACAATATGTTACTTGTGTTGTACAAAGGAAGTTTACTTGAGATAAGAATTATTTGTAGAAACATTACCGTGGAAGTGGAAAAGATACTTTGAGGAAAGAACTAGCGTTGGTCTAACGGTAGAAATGTATGGTATAAGGATTCGAACCAGGTTTATGATATTTTTCTGAATCATATTGGACTTAGTTTAGAAATCTAGAAAATATTGAAGGTTGGTTTCGAAATTTTCTCAGAAGACAGTGAAGTTTAATCGCATTTCGGTTGCAGTCTGTAGATTTCCGAATATCCAAATCCAATAGAGGTCGACCGTATATCTTAAGATGTTATATGTTATGTATATAGCTGGGGTATATTCTCCTCAAACATACATAAAACTCAAATATATAAAAGTAAATTATTCCAACCATAAAGAATGTAAACTAGGAATTTCAAACTGTTCTTGATAACAAACAAAATAAACTGAAGTCACTCAATTATTGATTTTATAATTGTGAAAGTGGGTTTTTATATATAGATGAACCAGTACCTCATTCATTTTGTTAGTAATTACTATGTGCTAATGCTAATTACTGCATGTACGATGCCAACACTAGTTGTTATTTAATTCCTACGCGGATGTTCCCACGGCGCTGCGCAAGAGTTTCGTTTCGCTGAATGCGTTTCATACGTTTTCAATTATTCTTATAGGTTTAAAATGACCGGAAGTATAGATAAGGATCTTAAGTATGGGAATTAATAATTAAATATATCAACAAAAAACTAATAGTTAATTCTCATCTATCCTAGCTTATAAGATTTATTGATTTGAATAAACTTAACGGCTTTAAACGCGAAATATATGAGTTAAATTATTTTATATTTATAGTAACTACGGCCTGACGTACCAGGTTTTATTTACAGTACGTTAGTATTTATGTTAATACACTTAAGCTTTCTTTAGTTGGAATATGTCATTTGTTATAAGTTTTTATACTACCCGCATTTTAATGTAGGAATTAGTTTTGCAATGAGGGTAATTACCGGCTGTTGATCTAATACGAACCCCCAACTGATGACTAAGTGTCGTACGAGTATGTAGAACGTGGGGAACTACCGGTCGTACTGGAAGTCTACGGGGGAGGCCTATGTCCAGCAGTGGACACCGAACGGCTGAATCGAGAACGTGGGGCGGACATATTTCTATGTTCGCTAATTCTTACTTATTGCAAGTCGTTTATCAAGGTATTCTAAGTAGAAGCTTAGTCTAATACCTACATTACTGCAAATATAAAACAATTTTTACTCTGTGCTTTAGCACTAACTTCTTTTCATTATTTTGTTTGTAACTCTTTTAAAATTAATTTTAGTAGTAATTTATGTACTTTGTAATTTTAAAAGGATTTTTTATTTTTTGTTTCTAGACACGTAACTGCAGGAAAAAAAATGTTTTGATTTCCGTTCCACTATTTCACTCAGCTCAGTCACTAACGTAGTTAGTGGCGTAATAAGAGAATAAACGCGTGTAATAATTGAACACTTAATAATTGAGTTTTATCTACCCCAATAGATTGGTTTAGGGAAAGAAAGCCAAGTCTTGAGAAATGGGACCCCATTGTTATTTAACAGAACCATTTGTATAGTATATAAGGTATATTTCATTTGTATACTTGAATGGAATGTTTTATTAACGTAAGAAGAATAATATTTACTTTTAATAAAACACTTTAAACGGTTTGACACACAAAATATGTATACCTCTGGTAGATATATACTCAATCGAAATCATACATAGTCTAACTCGTAATTATTCTAGATATCGTGATAATTACGTTTCGCAACGAGGAAAATAATAGATACAATTATTTTCAAGGATGTCGGTAGAAGAAAGTTTTTATAGCCACTGTTAATTTTCTATTAATTATATGCTAACATTACTCATAAATTTCAAATAACTCGATTTCACACGATAGATTTTAGTATGTATCTGCAGGCTAGAAAGTGCAATTAAATGGTTTAATGTTTTTTTTAAGACACGGGCTTGAACAGGCGACCACATGCCACAGCCTTCCGTAGTATTGCTCTAACCAATTGAGCTACCGTGTACCGTTTGTAGCAATAGCATTGATTATTTTTTATCAATCTAAAATCGATTTAGAATTTAAATAGTTCTATCATGTGCCATAACATATGAAAAAATATAAAGTTTTCAAAACAGTTATATTAAGCTATATTATTTTGAGATATTGCAGGAATACCTAAAAAAAACTAAATCCTTTCTCCTTCTGGGCAAAGATGCAAATAATATAATAACTTTATTTTATTTGCAGGCTACGAAGGGATTCCGAACCAGGACCTTTGAATGTAACGAGTGTAACATATAAGAGTGTAAGCGCAATAGCTACTGAGGCGATAAATCTTTTATAAAATAGTAATGTCTCATGTTATAGAAAGAGAGAAAGCATTATCTATTTGCCATCATACAAAAAGTTACATTATTTAAATAGCCGTAAAATTCAAAATAAAGATTTACTTTAACTTTTTTAGAGTGTTTTGTTCGGCGATTTATTTAAACTTAAAACAACAATCAATAGAAAAACATGCGAACGACTTTCGGTGTACATAATAATTCATGAAATGCTTTATAGAATGTAGTTATTGTAAGTAGACGACCTTGTTTCGTAGTAGCTTGTAAAGGTTACACATGACGATAAAATGTATGCGAAGTTTAGACTGTTTCTTACACTACAGACACAGTTCTGTGACTCAGTTGACAAATTTGTATGAGTAGGTGAACAAAGTTCTATGCTCCGCCTGATTGGATGATAAAAATTTCCGTGGGTCGGAACCCACGGCTGCTCGCAATTAACACATTGCATATAAGCAATGATCGCAACGATCGCAGCGGTCTCAAGTTACCAAACAACTTAATCTAAATAACAACACATTAACATATATCATTTATTCTTTTCTGTACTCTTCTGCAAACAAAAGCAGGCACTGATGCTCTATGCTCTTTAGGGGAACCGATACTTTTTATATAGCCTTATCGAATTTTAATTAGAAACATATCGCGATAGCAAATCCTAATACTCGATAATGAACGTAAAATTTTATTAGACGCGCATAATGCGTTCTCTGAAATCATTAGTAATTTTTGAATTAGCAATTGTAAACCAAGCTTTATGGTGACTGAAGAGCACAGACAAGCGCGGGGTTTAATTGGTGAAAGGTGAAGTACTCCAAAAACCTATCTACCCATATAGAGTTCGGAACATAAAACTAAAACCAAAAAAAGTAATAAAACTTGTTGGCGCCAAGTAATAAAAATTTTTCGGCCACACTTTGACACATGATAGACAAATCATTAACAGTTTGGAACCTGTGGGTATCGAACCCGCGACCCATCGGTAATTGGCCAGTATTAAAATAAACAACCTATTTAAACAACAGACAAATAAATATTTCTAAAATTAACATTTAATTTTGCAACGATATTAAGAACTCAAGGAGACTTCATTATTCACGTCGTAATTTTATTTTAACGACGTGATGTAATAACAATTTTAATAAACTTACATAAATAATACACGTATTTTTTTCTATTATAATCAAACACGTTTTACAACGGACTTTTTTGTTGAATCATTAAGGAAGTGTATTATATTATTAGATATAAACATAGTTTTTGTGTGTGTTTTTAGTGCTTCAAGTTGGATTTTGGAAAGCTTAAATTATATAATTTACATTACAAAATTACATATTGCTGCCAGCCAGCTTGTAATTAGTGCAAATAGCATCAAAGTAGGTAGCCGTTTCCTATGTAAGGCTAAGCCAAACAGAATTGAAATCACAAACAAATTAACCTAATCGATCTTGTATTTGGACAAACACGAGAAACAATTGATAGCGCAAGAAAATTTGTTTGTAAGCTTTTTATTTCAAATTCATAAACCGATAATAATTTTTACGACCTAAGAATAGACAGTTTAACAGAAGCTGGACTCGAACCGGCGACAAAACACCGTGCAGTGAATAGCAAATTCGACAGAGAATTAATATATTCCTAGCGACCAATAAATGCACACCTGCCACCGAACATGTTTAGAAAACGGAACCAAGCAATCGAAAGTAAGATTTTGTCTTTCAGTGTAAATTATTATTACAAGACCAACAGCATTGCAAAAATTATAATTCATCGAATAAAGTTTGTTTTTATATAAAAATAGTTCTACATAAATGATAATATTTTAGATTAATTCTTTAGAATTAAGGTATGACGTTTAAAAGGCGACATGATTTTTTGTTAATGCAGAGCAGGTTTTAAACCCTAGATAGTAAACTAAGTAACCGATCCGCAGCAAGTGAAGAGACAAGTAAATAAACTAAACTTCTATTTTTTATAACATAAAAATTAATTGTTTAAAATGAAAGTATTGCGTTTAACGTTCCATTCGTCACATAAAACGTTTCCAAATTCAATCGAAATCATTTTATAACACAGGCATAATCAATAACTATGTGTATTAAAAAACATCACTCCACGAACCCACCCCGCTACATAAGCACGTTTCTAAAAATCCACGCTGCTCGTAATCCGATACGAAAATGCAAACCTTTCAGTGGAATTGTAAAACATGGCAGCTTGCCGCTTCATATCGTCGGTCACCGCATTGTCTTCGTTCATTGTTACACGACACACGACACTTGGCACAACACTGTGTTTCTGGGGCCGGCTAGCCTTTCGACGCCCGCGCCTCTCACTGGCTGTCTGCAGTCTACTCATGCGGCGCCCCCCTCCTATATGATAAAGATCACTGGCTTCGACCGCTCCAAAAAAGCACAGACATCTATATGCTTATATATTTTGAATAATCTCAAATCTACTCTTATCTAAGCAACCGATAGAAACAAGTGGAAACGCAACTAAATCTATGTGTACTAATATATAAAGCTGAAGAGTTTGTTTGTCTGTATGTTTTAACGCGCTAACCTCAGGATATACTGGTTCGAATTGAAAATATCTTAATATAGGTTAGAGCATTTATCGAGGAAGGCTATTATAGGCTATAAGACATCGCGGTGTGGCTAATAGGAGCGAAGAAACAGTGGAAAGTTTGAAAAAAAAAGAGAAAAATGTATGCTTCTGGTTTCCAGTGCGTGCGCTGCGAAAACCGGTTCAAGATACCCAAAAAAATATGTATATATAAATGTCCACGACAGTATGTCTATCTTTTAAGTTTGGGTAAAAGCTTAAATTTATAGAAATGAACAGGAAGTTTGCAAAAAGAAACGTGATGCCCAAAATAACTGTTTTACGCGAACGAAGTAGCTCATTCAGCTAGTATATATTAAAGAAAGGCAAGTTGCACATTTATATCTCAAGAACGGCTAAACCGATTTGGTTGAAAATTTGTGGAAAAGTAGTACTAGAAGACACATCTCAAAACTCTCTTGTCTTTTTTTGCAAATGGCGGTGTTTTGTTCTTTGTATCATTGTCGTTGTAATAAATGAGGGATTCGATATTATATATATGTATCGTATCATTGCGCTGGAGAAGAATAATATAATAATAATTAGTCTCTTAATTCTTCACGTTTATATAACATGGAGCAAAAAAGTGCTTAACGCTTTTGAGTTCAAATCGAAAACCTTATCAATATAGATAAACAGGATATACGTAACGTTTTCAATTGGTATTTAAATGGAAAATACCTGTTTAATTTGCAAGTGCAGATTTTTTGTCGTTTTTTTAAATAGCGAAAGTACATACAAGTACAAAACCGTATTAGCCGTACTGTTTACGAATTATTCAGTTTCATAAAATAATAAACCAAATAATATGTAGGTACGTGATTATTAATACTTGGGTAATTACCGAAGTGAGAATAAAACATTACATTTAAATTTGTGTTACTAAAATTCATGTTGCTTCTAGTAAGTAATTTACCAAAAGCAATGGCTTTTTTGGAACTTCTCATTGAAATTCCCTTATAACCCCATGGTGATCCAAAGGTTAGAAGTAGGTATTCGCAGTTAAGCTATGACGTCATCACAAATACCAACTCTATGAAAGATCAATAATAGGGCGCCAATCTATACGGCGACAGATTGTTATCAAATGAACACTACGTCACACAGGGAAGTAACTACTCATAAAATGAAATTAAACTTGTTTTTGTTACTATGAAAATAAATTAAAAATCGAATGTTGCATCGAGCACGGAACACTGACGATGCCGGTTCAAGTCCTGCCCGAGTCGAAAATTTTTTCAATTTATTTTCGATTTTTAAATTATATAGTGCCTTCATGTGAGCAATCGGATTACTGATTGTAAAAATATAATAATTCAGAAACTAAGCACAGAACAAATGGGAGCTAAAAATACTAACATAATATACTATCTCTATCTATTACAATTTTATTTTATTTCAATGCAGTAAATGTATGTAACCAAAAATACAAAATTGTGACAGATAGACACAGCATGGTAAGTTATATATATTGACAAAGAAAATAATGACTTTGTTCAAAAACATTAATAACTTTATAAATAAAATGATAGAGTATGAAATAAAGGCAGAGTACTTAATAAACAATATTAAACATCTAATTGTAAATGAATGCTCAAAATAATAATAATAACAAATAAACAAATGATTAATAATTTCACATTTATTAGAGCAGGTTCACAGATTTTGGATTTTTTTAGTTTTCACTGATGGCATAAATGCATAAAGCACACCCCCTTCCGAGAATATTGACGTAGCAATGTGATAAATGGTACAACACTCTTTTGAAGGTGATAGTCAACCAGAACCAATAAACATACTATGATGCTACTTGCTTTTGAGGGGGACCTAGGAACATGTTTGTAAGACTCCAAAGCTCCTAGCACATTTATAACACCTAGACTAGACTAAGTAATGGTAACTAAACTAAAAACTTTTAAAAGCACGCAAAGCAGGCTGAGGCTGAGTTAATTTAAATATTTGGTTTAGAAGAGGAAAATCATTTGATAACAGAGAGATTCAACAACAAGTTGTTTACAATTCTTTAGCAAGAAGTATGTACTAAAAATATGTATAATTTATTAAGAGGATTGTTATTGGTGCCAGTGACTTTTTAAGTTTATATTGTTAGTAGAGACCACCACTAGAGTTACATTTTCTCAGTATTTACTTAACTTGTTACTTTTTTTTCAAAATTTAACATTATAAACGTAAGAATCTAAATTTAAAAGAAAACAATTTGAAGAATTATCCCATATTAACATGAATAAGATTTTCAACTTATTCTTGGTATAAATAGGTTAATTAATCTATTACTTACTCGTTCTCAGTTATAATTGGGGTATAATTATATTTGTACCGGCGACTATTCATGATTTATTATAATCACTTTAACAACACATATTTGTTTTAGAATCCATTACATCACATAAATTCTCTTCAGTCTATATATAATGTGTTACACAGTATACTAAAAATGCATTTCCAATATACTGAAAAAATTAAAGAAAAAAATCGTTTATCGACAGCGTTTTGAAATTATTATCGTTTTTATGTTTTTGTTTTACAACAAAAATGACAATTTCATACTAACAAGAGTTGACAATTGACATATATGAAACGTGAGCGAAAGGCGGTCTTAAGTTTTTATTGGGCGCCAAGTTGACTTAACTATGAAACCGTAGTTATTTTATATTTATGACTAAAAAAAATACAGATTTATAATACAATAAATGCGAAACATACTAATTAAATAAAAGCTTCAAAAAGCATGCCTTTTATAAAAGGTGTTTCTGTCAAGGTTTTAATTGCTAAAGTCGGGTTTTCCTAATTCAATTCTAGATGGCGTAAATATAAAACTGTATAGTTTCGTTTTTAAAATCTTTAAAAATTATTTTGATAGAATTTATTACTATCTGTATAATATGGCCTAGCATTTTGGATTGTCACTCCTTAGTTATTAATAATGAATAAATCTTTATTTAGTAGGCTTTGGCCGTGACGTCGCCCGCCAAAAAAAATTTGATAAAAACCCCCAAAAACCCCCCCCCCCCCCCCACCCAAAATTTTTTTTCTTTTTTTTTTTTCCCCCCCCCCCCCCCCCACCCAAAAAAAAAAATCCCCCCCCCCCCCCTTTTTTTTTAAAAAAAAACCTAATTAGGTTATGTGCGCCCTAATGATACAAAATTTACAAATGGAATTACTACAGCGGGAAATATTCCGATGATTAGATAAAAAAATCTACACTCTAAACATATCTACTATAGCGGGGGCTTATGATATAAGTTTACGACAAAAGCGGCAATTTCCTAGGCCGTTACAGGAAAAAACATCCTGGACAATATAAAGAAAAATTTACCCCGTTTTTTTTTTTTCCCCCGAAAATGGAAATGGCTAATGACACTACCATACCGGGACCCAACATTATTTAAAACAGATAGATTTACTAACCAATTGTCTATATGCCGACATTGCAACGTTTAGGTTATTGGTGAATCAATGAAAATCACACTCACACACACACACACAACCCCCCCTTTCAGGGCCGGGAAGGCTAGGCCAACCACCCCCCCCTGGTGCTTTTTTGTTAACCCCAAAATTCTTCTCTTTTTTTTCCCCCCCCCCCCCCCCTTTCCACGATCTTTGTTCTATATGGAAAAAAAAGGGACACACACACAAAAAAAAACACAACACACTTCCGACAAAACATGAGTGAGGTCTTCCACAACGTTCCTTAGTTATTAGTTATTAGACACGAACGTAAAGTGGTTTTTTTATTTACATATTAATGGACTCGCTGTGGTCCGTGACGTCGCCCGCATACAATATTTATTTTGGGCATAAAAATTTATTTTGCAAACCTCATGCTTACCCAACTCAACATTCTCCTATTAACTGCGCAATGTTTTATAACCTAAAGCCTTCCTCAATAAAGTTTTTAACTAGTACAAAATAAATCGAACCAGTTCTTGAGATAAGCGCGTTCAAAGAAACAAACAAATTTTTCAGCTTTATAATATTAGTATAGATAGCTAGCTACCAACGACGTCGACCGCGTACCGTCGATTTTGCAAGTTAATGCTAGCTTTAAAAATGGTATATTGCAGGTTTGCTTTGTAAGAACATGCAATTTAACTATAAAACGCTTCGATTACGAATTTAATTTGTCTCTTACAAGACAAGGGCGTGTCGTTAGAATGCGATTAGTTAGCTCACGCTTGACAGGGTACATCTGTGAATTTGTGACTTATTTGAGCTTAAGTAATGTTTGCTAAGTATTCTATTGACTTTCCTTATTACAAGTAAGAAATGTAAAGAAAAACTAATCAACTTTATCATCGTTTCTTTTTTAGTTTTAACTGTTCAAGATAGTTTGGATTTTGGTTTTGGACCTTTTTAATTTAGCAGATCAACCATAAAAATGTTTCTATGAATTCGTGGTATACTTGTTTTCCCCAACTTGTCTTACAGAGGTCTGTCTATTATATTTAGGTTTGAAAACTTTATTCTTTTTTAGATGTATTGCACATGAAGGCACTATACATATAATTTAAAAATCGAAAATAAATTTTAAAAAAATTCGACTCGGGCAGGACTTGAACCGGCATCGTCAGCGTTCAATGATGTTGCTCTCCAATTGAGCTACCGAGTCAAAAGCACGGAACGCTGACGAT